CGTTGCGGTTCTAATATGCCTTTTATGTATGGTAGGGCGATCCTTTTGTTGATTTCTGTGCTTGACTTGGGTTCTGATGCTGCGCGCGGTTGGCATTTTTTGAAGTTGATTGAGTAGGCGTTCTTTTGAAATACGTCCTTCAGGTATTGCTCTTCATTTTTTCGAGCTGCCAGTGTGCTGCAGTGTGTCATCGCCCTCTTGGACAAAGTGTGTACGCAGTTGATTTTGTGAGCTCTTGGGTTGTTGCTATTGTAGTTGAGAATTTGATCCGTAAAGTAAACAATGACAAATTTGAGGTCAATAAGAACCAATCAACATCAAGGTGTACAGCACAAGCTGTGAAACGCATATGGAGATTTTCGAACACTTCACTTCTATCTGAAGTTTGTGCTGATGATGTCGTTCAGAAGAACGATGAAAGCTCCACGACCAAACCATCCAGCTCAGAGAACAAAAATCCATCAAAAACTAAACAAATGTGTTTAGAATGTTGAATGGTATATATCACATAATGCATAAGTATATATATTATATTGTATATGTATATTCCTTGTATTTCTCAATATCTCAATGCTTCTTTCTTTCATTATTAAACTCTATCTACAGATTACAAGTACAATACAAATACATCAGATGAACAGGCAAGTTAAACATCATAATCTCTTAAATATATTACCAAATTAATAACATATTATACAGTCTTCTATGTAATATGTCAATAGGTTAAAACAAACATTGATTCATATGAATTACACATTGTATTGTATCATATTTAACATTTTAAAAAGATATCGTTTTAATTTAATTCTTTAAAAAAGAAAGAAAAAAAGAGTATTGTTTATATAGTTATGATTGATACCATATAAATCTAGTTGTTTTACCTTATGTATTAATATTGATAATGGAACGATGAATGTTACAGGTTATAGGCCCTATATTGACAACGATCTATTCCTTTGTGATTAATGTCCACGAAGAAGAAGAAGAAATACTTCTTTCGAATTCTATTGTTAGATATGCGAGTTGTAAACAGATTAGAGAGTATTGCGTTGTCTTCTAATCATTTAGAAATGTATTGAGTACTGTTGTGACTTACAGAAAAATGGAATATTCGTATATGCTGACGAGTGCCAAGTAGCACGAAACCCGGGTCCAGCGTTTCCTGTTGACTACCTCCAACCACCATCTAATCTCAATACATAGTGTCGAGTCACCTAGACTGGTGGCCACATTGCAACATGATCGATAGCATTCGATCTGCACTAATAAGGACTAGACAAGCATGAGATTGATCACCACCCAGTGATCAATCAATTGTGATTACATCTCAGTCCTACAGGAGGTTAGTCACGACTCGGATAGCTCAGTGGTAACGTCTCTGACTGTGAAGCTGGGTGACACGAGATCGAATCCGCCAGGGAGCATCAGTTCCCTGAAGATTACAGGTACACCTTGCTGACGAGTGCCAAGTAGCACGAAACCCGGGTCCAGGGTTTCCTGTTGACTACCTCCAACCACCATCTAATATGCAATAAGTGTGTTTCTTTGGAAAACGTAAAGACCTATAGTAGGACTAATTGTAATAACTTGTATCACCCCAATCCATTATTGATATGTATAGTTGACGACCAGACAACAAAGATAGACTAACTTCTTATCGACCGCTGAATGGTATATAACTAATTGAAAGCACTTCGTTTAGTTCAACACGCTTCACTAGTACATTGTCAGTGTGACTAGAACAACATTTAGAGTGTTTCATAGAAACGGACTAATGTGACCTTATAAGCTTATCGCCATCATATTGAAAATGTCAAATCCAAGTTTCAATCGGACAACCTACTTCGAATAAAACAACTGTTTGTTCCTAAGTTTGTTAGACGGCAGATCGCACTAGGACAAAATTAACAGGTTACCTTCTTCACATACAGAATTTTTTTACTCTTTTGTCCACCTAGTAACAAAAGATAGGGTTGATAAGAAAGCAGGGACCTATTGATAACCTCAAATCGGACAATAAAATGACCATTACCTGGTTAATATTCTTCTGTGAATATATCCTTATTCATATAATGAAGTTTGTATTGAATCTAAACACATCCGGTCGATGAAAACTGTCGATTTAAGTGAAACCTATTGTCATATAAGTAACAGGTAACGCATCATTTTCAGCAAAATAAAATATTTCTAAATATACGGAGAACTTTAAATTACATATAAACAATTAGTGGGATTTCGTAATACCTTGGATCAGTAAGACCCTTTATTGATATAGGTTATTGAATTAAGTTAGGAAGGAAGCTGAGATATAAGACCATAATAGCAGTTACGGGTTGCAAACAAGGCTTTCTATTGAATGACACTCAAAGTTAGATTAGCAACTGAGTTCGAATTCTACCTTGATCACTGAGTGTTTTGTTATATTAATGAAGAATACTCAACTAACCACAATAGTTACTTAGTTTGATCATCTCAATATAAATTGTATTAAACTAGTGCTAAGGTTAGTTGGCAGAATAATAGACAGGTAAATTAAAAGTCTCTTGATTTGCATTTCTACCTTGAATCGATTTCTTTCAATTTCGAACACTGGTTTCATTGTACTGCAATTTACAAACACATTTCTTAAGAGTTAGTTATATATAATATGCCGTTGTGGGCCAGAGTAATTTTACATTGGTTTTCAGGAGAACCGGACACCATACGGACTTTCACGTGACAACTTCAACAGTACAGCACAATCCCTTTCAACAGGAGAGCCAGACACCACCCAGGCTTAAAATTTATAACCCAAATAGTGCAGCTCAATCCCGCTTCACAGGAGAACCAGACACCGTATAGGCTTTAACGCTACAATCTGAATAGTACAGTTTAATCCTGGGGCGCAACGACACAGGTACCAAGCACTCTGATGGACCATTTGTATACATATTCACATCACATGTATAGTTATTCCGATCAATGATCGTGTGAATCAACTATGCACATCAAGAACAGGCCAAAGTTGACCTATTCCGTTTTTACACAACAGTCAAACTCATTCACGTTAGCAATGGCGACATGTCTTACAATGTTCCAATGACAATGGCACTTGAAAACCCTGAAAAGCAACCACCAGTATGAATGAAATCGGCTAACCAGAAAACCGATTTTGTGCATGAACAGTTAGCAAAACTTGCCAAAGTAATGCCGAACCATCCACAATATCAATATCGAACCTCCAAACTCATATGAGACCTTCAGCTCTGCTAAGCAATATAGCTTATTTTTTAAGACCTTGACATGAACTTCTCATAAAATTTCTTCTTCAAAGTTCAATTTAACTTTGTAAATTTTAGAAATCATAGTGTACTCTACATATCTATACTGTTATCACCCTTGATCTTCCTCTCGATCATGAATTCTATTACTCCTTCATATGTACTTTAATGCTGTTTTTCGAACATACTCCCAATTTTTAGTCTCCTAAATTATTATTTTGATCTCTTTTCTGTTATTGATTTTTATTAAATTCATCTCTTCATACTAATGTGGTATGTATGACGATATGCGCCAACGAATAATTGCGTCAAACTCTACATTAATCGAAGTGATTGACTATAGTGAAATTAATCAACGATTTGAGCACTTAATTCACAAGCTTTACACTATGAGTTTTAATGTCATTTTACTCAATGGATCACAGATATCCAGATTATTGTACTACTTAGAACAAGTGTGACTAAATCCCAAAACATAATAAAAATTTTATTATTGAAATGTACAGTTTGATGACCAAGAAACCATTTTTATTTGGATTATATATAAGCCATTTATTTTAAAAGCATCCTGAATTTTAACGCACTTTACACTATGGAATCCGCGAGATATCGGTCTATCAATAAAAAGATGAGTATACTGAGCAGCAGTTTGTTCTGTTCTACTTTACAGTTGCGAAAAATGGCCATTAAGAGTAGGAGATACTCGCAAGCTACTAGTAATTGATCACAGATGTCTCAGAAATATTACTCGCATCTCACGGAATCACCGCGTAAGTAATAGTGAGGTAAGACACATGGTATTAGGGTTGACGGTAAATCAGTTGATGAGGTTGTAAATATTCATCAACTGAGATGGTTGGACCACGTGTTACGTATGCTTAAACACCGATTATCACGACGCGCAATACTGACCAGTGTTAGGGATAGTTGGAAGAAAGTTAGGGGCGGTCAAACCAAAACGTCGCATCAGTCCTTCAAGTCGCTAACTTCTAGTCTGAGCCATGTTGGTAGACGAGATGGTGGAGTATGTATGTATTCACTGTATAGTTCTCCGATTTTACTAAGATGTGCTGTAATGTTGTGTTCTCGTATATTCGATTGTCCACACTTATGTTCTCGTTCACTACAGGCATACTATATTAGTTCCCAGTCAATGTCAAGTAAATTATGTCAACTTGAGCCTAATATGCATTTATTTTAAGGTCTATCCAGTGACAATAATTACAAAAAAAGGTAGCTTAATTCAAAGATAACGAATTCCTCCTATTAGTGATGCCTTTCATTTTGGTGAATGTTACAACAAACATGAAAATGATCAGTGAGACTATAATTTATGGACGACCTATGAGTGACGCTAAACTGACCTTGGGAGTGTTCACCTAATAACTAGGACCAAATGAAGGTTATAAACCAGTGTAGGAATTCGAATTATGATTTACAGTTGATGGTTAAGATTAGGAATTCAATTTAGAGTTTTCATCACGAACTGATATCAGTTATAATGCCCCTACTTGGTCAGATGAATGAGTGAATTTCGCGTCAAAATCTAAGACCTGTTATCTTATATCTAATTCATTCATCCAGAAATTATAGTCTCACTTTAAATGATCAATCATCATTAGTCAACTAATTTCTTACCACCACTAATGATTAATTAAACAAAAACATCATAGTATAGTTTGTTGTTTTTTTTTAAATAAGATTATATAACATTTAATGGAATAGGAAAACATAACTGATTTATGTACATGTAATTCGTTTAATTGTTGGCGCTATATTCTCAGGCCACCATGATGGTATATATGGAATAATATCTAATTGTATTACATTATTAGTATTATTATTATTATTATTATGATGATGATGATCACAATCAGTATGAATAGGGATATTTACTACTAGTTTATATTGTTGTTCATTGATATCAGTTAAACGTATCAATGCTATACCACTGATTAATTCATTATCAATATTTAAATCATTCTCATTATAATTATTATTATTCATTATAATAAAATTATTCATATTTACATTTCTAATCCATCCAATTAATTTTAACTTTGATAATTCATAGGTTTTATCATTTTTATTCATTTGATAAATTGGTGCATTGTATAAATGACTATAGAAATATTTTCAATGAAAAGAAAGAAAGAAAAAGTTGGAATGAATAATTCTTTTATGTATGTGTATATTCATCATTATAAAACTAAAATAAAGTGTAGAGTATAACTTTTTATCACCAATTGATATTGTAGTGTATGCGCTACTACTGATGTCGATAGATATATAAGTGAATGGCCTGATACGGCCTTGAGTGCGGAGAATCCGCTCTGCCTCTCCAAATGCTCTCATATGGTCACGCGTATATAGCCTCTGCCAGGGAAGTCCTACTCACTGCCTTCTCGTGGCGGGGATGTTGTTTATGAAAATGAGAAGATGAAAAGCGAATATCCAGCGCTTTAACAGGGTTGGTAGACATGGAGAGTCCACTTAGAGGAGTTGAAAAACCCTGATTCCAAACCAATGGTCCACATGGTCTCCAGTATCCTGAAGGAACAAATGGTGTATGAATCTATTGTTAGTCACTTGCTACCATGGCAATGCATCTCCTTACGTTGCTCCATGTAATTTAGTCATTTTTGTACTATAAATTGTTACCAATGTTTTCCGATTAGCTCAAACGTCTAAGGTCGGTGCTATAGAATACTCTGGTCAAAGACGTCCAGATGGCAGAACTGATGACAGTGACTAGTATGTGAAACTTTTTACATAGGATCTTGTCCCAAGAAATTATACTGAAAGGGATGACGTCTAAAGTATGGGCAAAACGTTCCACACAAGAATTATTCTAAAAACCCTGTAGCTAACTGGCTTTAAACTTATAATTTGTAGATTCACTTGGTGTTGTTTTACTTGTATTTTCCCATTATTATTTAGGATTGCAATTGATCGGTTTCTTATTGGCATCTATACATCCTGTGCGGACTGCCTCGATATTTCCTTAGGTCACAAGCTTTATGAGCAAAGATGGATAGTGGCTAGCAGTGCAATCCAGTTTGATGCGCGTTTCGTCCTATTTGGAACTTGTCAGCTGGATGTACCTGCATCTCAGGGTTGATGTTCACTCACATATATCAACAAGGGACTGATCAATTACAGTCCTAAATAACAATGGGAGGATTCAAGTAAACAATATCAAGTGGATTTAAAACTTCACACTATTGCACAAGCATGTGGTTATTAGGACTCAGTAGCTAAGTGGATAACGCAATAGGGTTTGAAGTGAAAGGTACTGGGTTCGAGTCTCAGAGTAAACATTAACTCTGAGATGCATGTACATCCAGTTGACGAGTCCAAAATAGGACGAAACGCGCGTCCTGGATTTCACTGCTGGCCACTATTTATCAGTAAATTTGGGAACATAATAGATTAGTGAGTTTAATTTGACAAAACTGATGAAATTGTGTCGAATAACTAACAAACTTTTTAATAACAATCTCTGCTTATCCAAATACAAAAAGTATACCCCTCAACTAAGGTAGACGAGAAAACTTTATCAAGGAAACATGAGATGACACTACGAACATTTGACGTTTAGTGTCTTATTAGCAAAAACAATATCAGGTCTAACCTGTGAGTTGACTGTGTCATCATTCTGAGAGGTTGTGGTTTTTATGGACAACCAAACGCATCTTAAAAACTGTAATTGTATTGAGATCAAGGAATATAAGCAGTGCAATATAGAGATAGATAAGTTTAAACTCACTTGACACTGTTTGACGTTTTTAAAACATCAATATTCCCCTTCGACACTATTTTAATCGGCACATATCTTCGCCGAGTAACTCCAGTAAAGTGTGTCCGTGCTGTCAACTCCTGACCAATATAACATCCTTTGGAAAAGCTAACTCCACCGGATAAATCAGCATTCGCTTCGAACGGTAGTGTATCACTTGTAATTAATTCCTTAATACCTTCTGGTAAGCCCAATTCCCAACGTGCATTATGATACAGGTTTATATCAAGTGGTTGTGTATTGCATGATGGGAAAATACTAGTGACTTGTGATAAGGAAAAAGAAATGGAATGACAATGGAAAAAAGCTGGAGAACAAAGGAACTGAAGTCACACATTTGGATTAAAATTAATAATTTGTACTATGCTTTATTAGCTGACCATCTATTTAATTTAGAAAATAAAATCCTGGTCAATTCGAAACCACCAACAGATATGACATTTTAATGTTTCTTTAAGATAAAGAAATTCGATAGGATACGGCATCAAGAAATGAATGAAATTGCAAACGGTTTCGATTTTGAATAACCACTTAGAGCTTGTAAGACTACTGAACTGCTCGATCACTTGGAATTCATCTGAGATCCTGCAATTGACTACCTAATCCAGTAAAATGTCACTGAGTCCTAGCCAAACCATCCGACAGTTAGGTCACTCAATTTCGAACGGTTCATCGACTATCTTCAGGGTCGAAGATAACGATAACCAACGCGCATTAATCAATCGTACACCATGGACTGGCGTGGCGGTGGCGGTCACACTTTTGCTTGTACCTACTCTAACTAATATACTTCAATAATCACGTCCTTTGTGTTATACGGCCTTCAAAGCAGCAATAGTACCTTGATACGACGAAGGGGTAAACCACGTTAATTGCTGAACACGAGGTGTGACTCGGAAGTTAGCTATTGGTCACACTATTCCCGTCTAACTCGAGTAGGGCCCCAAAAATTCAACATAGGTCATCTACTTTAGTGAGTTACAAACCCTTCTTTGCTTCACGCATCATGCCGAAAACAAACCACTACTTCATTTATATCCATGTCCCAACGTCTGAACCCAATATTTGGTTTAAAAGATGCTGCAGTGACACGACAATTGATCATCGCTGTCCCTGAATGGACTACCAGACCTTAGTTTCGACATTACTTAAGCTCAAGCTAAACCTACGTATCTATGCCGTCTAAATTGTCCCAAGATTAACGTTGATTGCAATTGAATATCACTGTAGCAAATACCTGCCACTAGCGATACTAGTTACACAAATTTAGCAAACACTTCGAACAAACTATCAGAAAGGGAGTAAACAAGCAAATTATTCTATTGGATTTCGCACCTCGATACTCAGTTTACCACATTATTGATTTAAACATACAGACATTGGTACAAGAAGGCACTAAATAGATATGCGCCACACAAATTATTCGATTTGTGTGAGAGCTATGATACTGCCCGGGTGACCAAACCGAAGCAGGTGGTTCACTATGCCAAAACAATGTCGTCTTCACACTCAAGATCAGAAATACTTTCTCTAGGTAGCATATCGAAACGAAAAAAATTTACTTAGAGATATGTGAAGCACAATAACAGCAACTTTTGAATGAAAGTCAGAATCTCCTTATTTACAATATCCCTGCATGCCACATCGTCTAGTAACAAATTCTGATAGAATTTCGCACATCAAGTCTCTATTTGGTTAAAAAAACAGCCGACTCAACGTCAGAATCTTCTAACAGCCACATGTTTATCTTCATTGGGATAATAAATCACCGACGATGTTCGATGTAATCAATCAAAAATAAATGTTTTTTTAGCAATGATACAACGTGGTCATGATAAAGTCCAGCTCATTACATGACCATAAATAACAAGACATAATGACAAATAAAATTATGACCACGTCTAGTATAAATGCGAATCGGTAAGTCAATCAAATCGATTGTTGCTGTCGTTCAAAGTTAAAGATGCCTAGGTCAGTTTATATGGCCATTCATTTTTGTAGTTATGTGTATACAGTTTTTTCTTAAATGCTGAAAAACTATTCAACAAAAATTCGAAAACATTAAACCTAATCTTTAATAAAATCTAAACAAAATAATTACCATTTGTACTAGATGTTGACAGTATGCGTCCAGACCAACCAGATATACCCCTAGGATCTGAAGCAAAAAATATCAACTGTTGTTGATCACTAATATCAGGTGAATTCACTGGTAACCATGCTTTATAATTATTCAGTTGATTCGAGTGTCTTGATGTCGGCATAGCGACCCAAGGATACACTGATAAATCGGCGTCTATCTTAACCTATACAAATGTTATTTACAATAGACAAAAATGGATTTTTGAAAAAATAAACAGTTAAACATTTGAATGGTCAAATAAAGAAGGTCGATGTATGTCGAAACTTAGTATCTCAGAATGTATAGTTCTCATTAATAAACTTTAAGACGGTAAATAAGAAAATGAACATGTGGGACAAGGTATTTAGATGAACTAGAAGTACATATTTGTATACTAAGAATCGAGTTACGTTTATTCTACAATCATTCTATCATCAAATACTAGCAACTTACACATATCTATTACTTCCAAAGGCTATTTTTTCACAGCCATTAAGTAATAGAGAGTAAACCTCTGCATAGCACACACCCTACGACAATTAGACAGGAATCTTACTCGTACTGAAGGTAGCATCACCCAACAAAGGCTAAACGAGCTTATTTTTATACTTTCATAGATTTTGAGCATTACTTTTATATCAGGCCTGGCTAGGCACACGAGGTAAGTGAAGTTAATAACTCACTAAGTGTTAGGGGTTATGAAACTTCCTAGTTGCTTAAACCAAAGTAGGTGGGGCGGAGTTTGAATCTGGGACAGTAACAAAAAGTCGAACTTCTCAGCCACTAAGCCATTGTGACGTGATCAGCTACATAATCAGGGTAGAGAAGATCTGGATCAAAATTAAACATAACTATTTGGGTAATATTTCTAAATCATAAGTACTGTTAAGTCACCATTAAACACCATAATTGGCCATAAATACTTACGTCAAATAAAGTGATCAAAAAATTCATGCAATCGATTTTTAAATCACATTAAAGCGATGAGAAATATAGCAAATAACACTGAAGTGAAACGTACTTTCCCACGTAAATTATATTGCTTTAAGTGTTTAACCATATCAGGTACGCAACTGACGTCAACTTCAACAAGATAATCAGACTGATTAGTCGATAAACGATTAGTATGATAGATAAATGCATCAGTTAGAACTCTACCCTAAAATATATAATGAAAAAAACTATCTGACAGGAAGGAAATTCAATGAAATATACCTTCGAATTGAGAAACAATGAATACATGAATGAATTAGGTTGATTTATAGATTTGATATCATTTGTTATAAGTCCTTGTAGAAACTCATCGGCTGATGTGCCATGAACGCATATAAGACTTCTTTCTTTTAATTGACTTATACTCAGAAAACGTTTAGGAAGAAAAGTAAGATGACTGACACGAAGGGAATTTCCAAATACGATCATGAGATTCGAATCAAAGCACAAAAACAATCTAAAAGAAACAAATACAACTTAAATTACTATTATATGGCAGACATAAACATATTGGTTCATGTTTCGTTTGTTACCTATCCTTAAAATGACTAGTAGAAATATCAATTAGATCTTATCAGAAAAAGTCCTACACTCCCAAATATGAAGGTCCTGATAACAGTAGTCCGATTAATCTATTTATGACAAACGCGTTAAGCGTTGTTCTTTAATAATTTTTCAGTTGCAATCAGTTCAAGAATATAAACGTTATGTAAATCTATATAGATAAACCACTACTTAAAGTGATTAATACGGAAGAATCTATGATATTTGTGTGGGCTCATCGCAAGATACATTTCAGTTTAAGTGAACTTATTGTTTTTTTTAAAAATTGATTTTAGACATAATGTCACTTAGACTGGTAACCAAATTGTGACTTTTTCACTAGAATCCAATAATCACTGGATGACCAGGCAAACCTGAACTTGGCAACTACCATGTAATCAACTAGTTGTAAGCTGTATTATTTTGTAAAAGCCTAACCATAGCAGGACATTGATTTTTTGTTTATGTCTTTTCTTTAGATATTTGTGAACAAAGTAAGAAATACAGCTATTATTAGTGCATTTGAGGAGAATGCAGACCAACTAGTTGATATTATTAGGCTGCCTCTGGAAAGTAAATTCACAAAGCCAACAGAAACACAAGACGTATTACTCCCAGGTGACTTTGCGATTGTCTAAATCCCAGAATTTCTCGTATTCAAAACAGAAAGTAGCCTCATAGTTGCATCAAGACCATGTGTAAAAAGCAAATATATCACACTAAGCTAAGGAATTATTGAGCACACTACCATTAGGCCCTGTATATCCAATTTGTTTGTGAAGAGCTGATATAAACCAACTGATTCCTTTGCGTTCGCTTCTTGTTGTTTCTGTCTCATAGACTAGGACTAAACTTCATTTTCTTATACCACAATGTCACTAAAAATCCACTCCCGTTGGGTGAAAGGTTTGACTTTATACCTAGTTACGTGAAACTACCGTAAACACGCAAGTAACGTACCAGTTGAACTGAGCACTGAGATGAAAATGGTCCAAATGGTTCTGGACAGAATCGAAGCTTTCAGTTAACGGGCTTCCGTATCAATTAGCAATGGATCACCGATGCCTCCAGGTAGGAACCTAATTATATTAACGGTAATAGAGGAAAAAGAGAAATAAGTTGATAAATCGCAGTGAAATACTATCCTTAGTACTTAAGAATATGTCAAGTTTTCTCTCAAAGGACTCCTGTGAAATCACCCTAACTGGCCCAGCCAGCAGCAAATTCTAACATCTGATTACTCTTAAGAAGTGGGAGGTGTGTCTATAGTTCGTTCTGCTGTGTCGTGTCACCCGTTTCTGAGTGTAACCCCCTAAGGTTTGTGTTGGGACCAACCTTAAGTAGGTATCTAAGGGGGTGCTCAAAAGTGTTTGGGATGTTGTAAGTCACTAGGTTACCTCTAAGATTCTTGTACTCTAATATGTAATGGTTCAGTGGTTGAAAGCGCTCTCCATCAGACTTGTATGAGTCCCCTGATTGATTTTGTGGTTCGCCATTGGATACATTAATGAGTGTCTTCATCCTTTTGGAGTGAGGAAGGAATACTATTTTTCTGTACTCTGAATGAGGGCGACTTGCGCGAACGGAGGTTAGTGGACGAAAATACTAATTCATCTGCTTGTGCAGCTTACTTTTCCGGTTATAGATTGTCCCCAATTCTTGTTGAGCACGCAATCGTCCCATACTATCAGCGGATAATCAGCAAGTACCCAAAACCATACCTAAAGTAACCAAAAACAGTGTGCGTAACCAGCAATCACGACTACAGGACCACCAGCTTGCCAACTGGTTCCAAAGAAGCTGATGTTGGCTTAAAACGTATCCCACCACATGATAGACTATGGAGTCAATCGGTCATCGAATGCCCATGGGCATCGTACTTTTATATGGCCACCAAAAAGAACGGCGAAGGTTGGTGCCCAACTGGTGACTATCGGCGACTGAATACAAAACTAATCTCGATCGTTACCCATTACAGAACATTCACTGTTTGTCAGCTACCTTCAAAAGTACAACTTTTTCTCGAAAATCGACTTGGTTGAAGCATGTATCCAAATTCCTATGACTGCTGACAACATTCAGAACAACAACAGATAGATGACAACTGGAAACCCTAGCATTCTTCTCGAGTCGATTGCTAGACACTGAACCGAGGTATAGCACCTTTGGTAGGGAACTCTTAGTCATGTATTGTCGTTAACAGTACTTTCAACATTCCATGGAATGCCGAGAATTCACTATTTCCACCGATCACAAACCTTTCATCTTCTCTTTAGGCTCATCTTCAGACAAATCCTCCCCTCAAAAGTCTCGACAACTGGACTGTATTTCACAGTTTATTTCAGATAGGCGACACATTTCTTGGGCAAACAGTGTAGTTGCAGACGCTTTGTCTCGCATAACTTCCTTGAAGAGTTTCCAAGGAACAGACAACCTTATACTCTCCCAGCTTCAAAAAGAAAACACTGGCCGCGCTTTTCGAACGGGAAGCCTAGTCCTAACGTTACTTACATTTCCCAAACTTCTCCTGTGTTGTTACGCAGCAAAAGTACCATTTCTGATCTAATGAATCTATTCTGAGCTATACGTTCGGTAGATCACTCTTTTCGAGTTTCACCCAATATAATAATTAACAGTGGTTTTAGTTCAGTTTACTATTCTTTTTTTCAGTTTTTCACGTAAAGGCTAGTTCAGTTTATCTCATCCGTTTTTATCCATTTTTGCCCGGTTTTAGTGTGCTTTTAAGCGTATTTTTTAACGGTCTTAGGCTTTTGCTAGCATCTATAATACAGCTTACCTCAACACAGTCATAGAAAATTCATGCAAACGACCTGGACACCGTTTTGTCGTTATATCTGGGATGCAGTGCGACAACTGCAAAGGTTGGTTCCATGAAGCGTCCACAGATCTCACAGCAATTACTTACAACAGACTCAGCAAGCCGGATCATAAGTGATTACGTGTAACGTGCGACACGGATGCTGTAGTTTTACTGAGCAACATCATTGTCTTACTGACAGGTCTGCGGAATAAGTTGTCAGCAAACTTGGCAAAAGACAGTCATAAAACGTGTGGACAAACAAGGGCGTGCAACGAAAACAAGAATAGGGATGTTGACAGGTCTACTATCGATGAAGCATGCATTAGCACTAGCGATGACATGCTGAAACTCAGCACCACAATAACGTCGACGATAATAGACTCCTTCAGCGAACTCGGGTCTCCCAGCTCAGGGCCCTCGAATGCAACAGTGGTTCCCAATAACTCTGTTGGTGATTAGACCCACGTTAGCAGAGCTAAAAAGGACCAGGCGTCATCGTGTAAGCTAAACATCCCAAGTATTGTATGGAAATCAACTGGTGATTTGACCGCACAGTCTACCCCCAGAAATGTCCATCTGGTCATAAAATAGTCTGGGATTAAGAAACGTGCTTCGACCTCCAAACAATAAGGTGCTGAACCTGAACACACCTAAAAACCTTGGAAAACAATAACGGTTCGTGAGGACTCTCTCATAATCATGAACCTCAAAGACAACCCTGACCTTCCTCTCAGTTTGCAGGACAAAATTGACAGGATGCTCTGAGACGAATTGAACAAAAAGCTTGAACTTCTTAGAAAGAGCCTTTGGCTACTTCGTGTAACACTTAAGAATGCTACCGACGTAGAGGATGTCTTGCTAGCTAGTCATTTACTGAAATCCGATGGGAACGTAAGAATACTGCTCGACATACCGTATTCTGAGCGCAATCTCATCCGGAACATCCCTAAAGAATCTCGCGAGACGTTTTTCTGAGGAAGAAATATCATTGTGCAAGGTGCATCGGAAAACAGGGACCCTAGTCAAGCGAACTCTGGTATTAGGGAATGGAAATCCATCAAAAAGTCCTCGAGGCTCAAAAACCTAATGACTCGACATGTGACGAGACTAACCAAGAAAGGACGGTGATTGTAAACCTCGGCTAATGAGGATAACTTTCTCATCCTTCCATATGGCGGCTGCAACTCTGGAAGCATTTTGTCCCAATAGACGTCTTTTGTCAACTGGAATCCGCATGCGCCCGAATAGGCCACATGACGCCAGGATCAAGCCAAAAGGAAAGTTAGAGCTGACCATCCTATGTCTTGATAAAAAAAAATACGTGTAAAGAACAGAGCCTACCAACTCGGCAAACTTTATATAGGTAGGCCACCTGTCTATTCACGTAAGGCTCATACAGACAAACAGAAAGAAGCTCACACGTTTCATAATGAAATCATAAACTGCTTATACATGAACGCCGCGAGTCTACCAAACAAAATGGATGAGCTACGTGAACTTAACAATGCTACTGGTGCTCATCTGATAGGAATATCTGAATCTTGGATATCTCAGTTCTCGGACCAGGGGCTACTAATGCCTGGGATGTCTTTGTTTCGCAACGACAGAAAACGGGCATTGGGGGTGGAGTAGCCGTATACATACGATCTTTCTTGGAGGGATACCAAGTTCATAACCTCCAGTTTAACAATCTTGATGAATCTGTATGGTCCTCCGTAAGACTGTCTACTACTTCGAGGTGCCTAGTCGGAGTCATATATAGGAAGCCCACTGCTGACATCGAGTATGACAGTCGTATGCTGGAAGGACTATCCCGCTCTACTCACCTCGGTTTCACTCATATCCTGATTCTAGGGGACTTCAATCTCCCTAGAGTCAACTTCGCGGAACATACGTATATTGGGGATGAAAACTCAACTGAGGCTCGGTTCTTCAACCTCGTTGAGGATCTGTGATTATACGAAAATGTGAAATCGGCAACTCGTTGGAGAAACAGTCACACACCGTCGCGCTTAGACTGAGTATTTACAAACGAAGAATTCCCGGTTGACAATCTCTCAATTCTGGCTCTCCAGTGAAGAGGCGATCACGCCA